AGAGCACTAAAAGCCTCTCTATATAGGCTCAACTATTAATAGATTCACAAGGATTTATATCTTTTCTTGGGGCAGAAGTATTGAGTTCTCTTCGGTTCCAATTTACTTGTTGAGTTCATTTCTATTCAGTGCTCATAATGGTGCCAGAAAAACTATGTAGCATATGAATTTAGTAGAGCACAATGAATGGTAAGTTTTAGGTGACAAAATCACAGTTTAACTCACGAAGTTCACACTTGATAAGCTCCATGGATTCTTCTGCTGTTTTATTCAGGGAGACCTAACACTGTCAGGATTCTTAAATAAACAAGGACAGAGGAAGCTTCAGGGTCAGATGACATCGATGTAGGGTTACACACAGGCAGACTTTTATTTATGCAAAAGCCAACGTTGTTATGATGTACTGGAGTCCCACTTACTTTTCCACATACCAAGAGGACACCGGGGCGGGGGTGTCCAGCAGTGTCAGACCAGGGTCAAAAAAGAGATAAAAAATACACCTGGAGATATTACAATCTCCTAAAATGAGTTAAAGAATCTATGAGACTTTAAGGTTAAAACAGAACCAGCTGTGTGACCTTTGTAAGCAGAAGAAAAAAGGAAATGAAAGTTAGATTTGAACTAGGAAGCAAATGTAGTTTAGAATATAAAAAACCAGTTTTGAATCCAATTAGGAAAGGTTGTAGAGAAATACAGAAATTTCGTTATTTGAAATATGAATGCACAAGAGACAGTGTCAATCAATTCATGGACCAGCACAGAACTGGTTTGCCTTGGGAACTATATTTGCCATAATTGAGATGAAGAAAAAATACACCCTCTGAATTTAAAATTGTTTTGTTTTTCTCCCTGAGGTCAGTATTCAGTATTTTCTGACATGGAAATGTTTTAATGCTCTAAATAATTGCTCCAGCTTTATTGTGTACAATTACATGCGGTTATAGACAAGAAAAATTGCTCTGCAAGATTTCATGCAGTAGATTTCTTAGATTGCTCAGGATTTTGGGCCAATCACCAAACCCCTTGCTTTTCTTCCGCTCCATATCCAAGATGCAGAAGGCACACCTTTCTTTCTAACTGATTCAGGCAATTTTGCTACTTACTCAGCTTCTAAATTGTGGAAGGAAGAGTAATGTTCAGTTATGTTCCATAAACCAAATAGTTTATTCTAAATTCTTTTCATAACAACAAGTGCGGGAATCAGATACATGCCACATCAAAAACAACATGCATAGTTCTTTAGTGTAATAGACAGGCTTTTGGGCTTGGAGCTAAGTTAAACCTCACTCAGGTAGCCTAAAACCCAATCAGCCTGAGATTTGTGAGGTAGCCATGTGTCCAGCCCCTTTCCTCTGTTAAATTTTAAATACTGCACAGGAACCATTTTCCCTATGAGGCTCCCACACTTGGGATGAAACCTTCTCCGACGAATTTTGGCACCCTATTAATTAGTGGTTATGAGTGGGAGCTGCTCTCGCTCAGCAACTCCTATTCTGCCATCAGTCAAGTGTGATTCTGTAATAAATTTCCATGAGACAAACTATTTCTGGTAATTCTCTCTAATTAACACCAGGCCTGCTAATAATACATCAGTACCTATGTGCTTCTGATATAACCAAGATCTTGTCTGAGAGTACTCAAAAAAGGAAACCTCCAACCTAAATTAAGCTTTTGCTGGCAAAAGGATTTTATGTCACTCTGTTAGAAAACCTTTGATAATCTTATATTGGGGCCATTTTGACCAGAAAAAAAACACTGAAAGACAGGAAGGCCTGCTCTGGTTTGAGCCCTGAAAAGGGATTTATTGTGAGCACACAGTTGAGACTTAAGCCTATAAATCTTGTCCCGGATTACTGTTTCTTAACGAAGGAATGACAGATCTCTTATTTTGTTGGTGCATTTTAATGTGCAATGACGTGATTGATAGAAACCAAACAGCAACTATTAAAATGTCAGATGCAGACTAGATGCCCTTAAAAGGCTGGCTTCTGGAGTTTAATATACTGTGAGCAAATACAGTTGAATTTCTCTCTTATTCCCAATATACCACCTGCAGCAGAAACATTTTCTTACCTTTACACAGCTGGAAAAAAAAACTCACTCCAGTCAATAAACAAACCAGGAAGAGTGAGCCTCCCTAGTTATGAAGAGTCAGCTAATGAGATCGGGATGAGTTACACATAAAGTAATGCACCCTGGCTAATGCAAAATGTGAAAATGTACATGCTGATTTATGTTGTTTACGATCTATAAGACAGCATAATGTTGGATATGACAAGCTATTCCAATAAATAATTTCAGCAACAAACTTTTTAAAGAGAAATGTATCTATTAATTCACAAACACTGTACATATTCTATTCACAGACCATAACAATGTATACAAGCAGAATAAATGTTATAGTATTTTCAAATGTTCCATTTCTGAGAATTCTGACGGGCCAATGGACTCTTCAAGGAATTATTTATTACATCTTATCCTATCCTGGGAATAGGAAACAGACCCCCCATAATTTAATGGAAACTTCGTTCTCCAAAAGAAAAACCAGGAGAGCTTATCTATGCCATTGCAGTCATTTATTGAGTATGTGCACATTAAGGTATCACTCTACTGATTATATTTCCCATGTGATTTTTCACTAGACAAGGTGCCCAAAAGCAAAAGAGCAGACGAATGCAAACTTAAAAGTTAAACAGACGACAGATTAGCAGATGAAGCAAATTATACATTAAGAATCCAATTCAAACACTTGGTGGCAGGAGTATAAACCGAAGCTGGGTCAGATTAGTGGGAAACCCTTCTGTGTGTTTTGCATAACTAATGCCAAATGCCACAAAAATTCAAGTGCTGGATTCACACTTGAATAAGAGGAAAGAAAGGAAGTATTTTCTATAAAATGTTCCTAATGTACTGTCCCTTCAAAATGGCACATATTTGTTGTGGATAATTTTAAATATCATGCTACACTAGCATGTTGAAGATTTTAACTGTTATTTCTACATGTTTTTATGTAACCAACTATTAGGTCTCATTTTTAAACTCTAATCAATCAATAGGAAATATGTATGTTACTATACATATGAGTAGAAGGGATAATTTTCAATTTGTTACCTTAGTGGGCAACACGTAAGTCTAGACCACAGAAATAATACACATCTGAAGCCATCACTAAAATTCTGAAAATGATAAATCCAAGTAGGGGAGATTTTATTCATGTTCTAGAATATTCACCTCTGTCTTACCAAGTACAGCATCTGAAAATATACATCCAGAGAGACTAAAACTCAGTGCTCTACAGTGAAAAAAGAATAAAAATGCTCAGGGAGCCCACCAGAAGAATAAAGTGCTCTGCCAGTTTTTAAAAATTAATGTTGGTGAATTAAATATGGCATTCCTTACTGGAAAATACAGGCTCTTCTGCAATATGGTCAATATTTATATCACAGGATGAACTTCTTTAGGAACAGATAGAAAACCTTGCCACAGAAAAGATGAACAAAACACAGAGAAAAGTGATAAATTAGGAAGCAACCCTTTTGGGGATTAAAATGTAGAGAAATGCTTCATGAATAACATGTAGGATGAAAGGTCTAATAAAAATGATACCCTTACAGAAAGATGACTTTATAGCAATCAGATGAAATAAAATTCTTGCAAGAAAATAGTCAAATGCCATTAAATCAAATACTATCAAGGCAAAACTAAACCACAAAAAACTATCCTATCAAAACAAAACCACCAACATTTTGTATTGTAGAAAGGAAAAGACTGGCATTAAAGATGCACATCAGCCAGCAAGTTATCTGTAGGTGGTTTCTGCAGCAATGAGATTTAATGCAAAATTTAGTTCCAGCACTTCATTTTAAAGAAACTTCCTGCCTCCCTACATAATGCAGGGTGAGGAGGTAGTCAGGGTTGCTACTGGAGAGGCATTCAGTTTGCTACTTCGGGTCACCCCTTCCTATTCTTTTATCCCCGGTTAATTATTACCTGCATATAAAATAAACCTGTTAGACCATAAATTAACAGCTTTCAGGACAGACGTCTTGCAAGTTCTCAGGGAGGTTAAACAAATATTGTAGCCTAAAGCCTCCTCTATAGCAAACATGCACACAATGGAAGTGAAGTTCTTGGTGAGCAATGGGGCAGGAAGGACTTGGGGATTCTGTCTTGACTTTATAAGCACCTTGCTCCAAACAAGATTTAATTATAACAGTGGGATCATGGGCTTTGCTCCATTTTAGAAAACAGAGGAAAACTATCAAATGCCACACACAACCTGTTCTCTCACTGGACAAATATCAGCAGGACCCACAGTGTTTAGTAGAGTAGTTTCTATCTCCATGTGGCATTTATATAATTCTTTGCACAAAAAAGGAAAACAAATTAGAGACCAGTCTGAGTAATTAATCACATTTCCATCCTATATGACCAAACCTCTGTGAATAAAAGGTTTCCAGACTTCATGATCAAATTTGGAAGTGGTTCACTCATCACTGAGAAAGCTACCAAAAAAAAAAGTCTAGATTTCATCATAAACCCCAAGCCAATTCTAATATAGAACGAGGAAAAAAAAAAACCATTCCGCATAGTAAGCGCTCTGATCTTTGACCAGTAGCCCAACTCTAAAAATGATCTGATTTATAATCTGAAAAGGAGGAAATGTATTTTTTGTTTGTCTTTTTAAAGGTACAATCCTCTTATTTACCATAAACCATGTCCCTTTTTATTGGTTCATTTTAAAAAAGAAAAAACTGTTATTACTCCTAAGTATTTCATTAGCTCTGTTTCATTATGAGGAAAGGGAAACACTAAGGTTTGACTAATACAGGGGATAAAGCCTACACCATGATTGAAATAGTCCCATTTTAATAAAGGCAAATATTCGGGATTTATAAACTATACAGCAACTGCTGAGAGGGGATGAGAGGAGAGTGTAACATGTCTTCTAGGCATGACACAGTCTGATAAAAAAATCTCCCTGGCATTTCTTATTGAAATGATCAACTAATTAAAAATAAAAGTACACCCATTTGTTTAAAAACTGACACTTCCTACTGATAAAATTGTTTGAACTCCTACTTGCTGTTTTACAGATAACCAGTTTTTAAAAAAACAATGATTCTCTTATTAATAAAGGCATTTTCATTGCCCTTTGCAGATCTACTCCAAACTACCGAAGAAGGAAAGAAAATGTACTTACTTCAGCATGGAGGCTGGGGGTTTTATTCTAAAATTTAATTCTTTGCTAGTTTATTCTAAGATGAATTTAATAGTCGACCAGGAAAATTATTTTTATAAAGGTTATTTTATGAGCAGAAAATATAGAAAAAAGTAATAAAAAATGCCAAGCTGTTTCTTTCCTTTACAAAGCCAAATATTTCATTACAGACTTGGTTTGTAATGTTGGAATTTAACCCTTTGGGGCCACTACTATTTTCAGAACTCCATATAAATATTATATCTAAAAATTAATTGGTAATTTAAACTTTCCTCTTTTTTCTTCAAATTTCTTCTTTTCCTAACTGTTGACTTTCAAAAATTCACAGAATGAGCATGCTTCTTGCAGAGTGGCTTGTCCTTCTTGGAGAAGAATGTCTGTCCTTCCAAACTTTCACAACATACCTGAAAAAGAAATGTTATTTAAGAGAATGTCATTATTTGAATCAAATATGCTAGTGAAGGGGCAGGTGACTTTTTTCCCTCAGTGGATACTATGACAAAATGCTACAGATGGTTGTTTATACCTTGACATTTCAAGATTACTATGACATTTTGTGCCATCTTTAAAAAGCAAGGAAGAACAGCTTTTTTTCCTGGAATATATTCTGATTTGTTTAAATCACTGATTAATCAATTACTTTTCTTTATTGGGAGGGAATCCAATGAAAAATACATGAAGAATTCACATTAAATGTAATTTTCTCCCCAAATTCTACTCAATGCTTTAAATCTGTTTCCTATGGTAGAAAACTAAGGTATTCAAAAGGGGAAACAGTTGCTTTGACCAACAGTCTCAGCCCCATTTTAGCCTGCTCCCGAACAGGCAAGCATAGAATACTTGAGATTTATTTTTAATTCACTTCTTTAATGAAACCATTAATTCATGAAAAATATTAATGAATTTCTTTAATTCACTTGTTTCTTACATTGAAAAACCCGGTCAGTGTCAGGCTGTGGGAACATGTCCTCGGTTATCCACACTTACTCTGTATTTTTTCTACTTCCTTTGTTATCAATGCTCATGAGCAGCTCCACAAATTTTAGCAAATTCGCTAAAAGTCACTGTTTTTATAGATTTTTATGAAGTTTAGAAGACAGATGAGGTAAATGAGAAAGGGTTTAAAGGTACTGTTTGGAGAAATCATTTTACTTTAATTAATATTACTTTTCCCCTTCATACAATGGGCACTGAACTATTAGATATATTAAATCTAACTGAAAACTGAAGTGTTTCCGCAGAACATCTTTACTGCATGTATTTTAGGTAATGTTACTATGGATCTATCCTAATTATTCAACGAATCCCAAAATATTAAAGTATCAAATTGAAATAGATATTTTATTACATGTTTATTATAGTCTCACAAAAGAAAAGAATGTCCACAGGGTATTGATGAGGAAATAAATCAACACATAATTTATTTCTAGTGTTGGTTCAATAATCATTTTATAACTGTTTATTTATATTTAAAGAAGTGTCTAATGTTTTCAAAAACTACTAAAATATACCCAATGGTGTTTAAGAGAAAAAAAAAAACAGACTCACTATTTTAAGATATACACAGATTCTCTTTATAGACAAAAATGTATTAAAAATGCTATTTTCTCTTAGGAGTAAAGGTTTTATCATGTGCCACATGATTTCAAAAGGTGCCAACATTCTGATAAACAACTTTTAAATTATTTTTTTCTCTTTTGGATTGAAGGCCCTAACACTCCAGTGCTATTATTTTCATTAAGTATTTAGGCTAGAACCAGCCACCCTGCACTACTTTAGCTAGGGGATTTCAGAGTTACTTACTGAGCACACAAAGCAAGTGTCGTGCCAGGTGTAGCCTAGAGCTTCCAGAAACATGTCTCCAGCTTCTATGGGGAATTCACATCCATGGCAGATAGTGCCAAAAAGGGCATAATAATCTGTATTGGGAGAGCGAGGAGAGATGCAGTTTAAATATGACAAAACCTTAGAATGATAGTTTATAGAGGACAGAAACAAAACTGGGATTAAATGAGATGCCGAAGGCAAAGATAGTAGCAATCAGAAAAATTTTCAAGAAACAGCATATTTGGTTTGTGACTCGTTTAGGATGTTTCACGTTTCTCTTGGTAAATAGTATTTACATTGAGAGATGCCGAAGGCAAAGATAGTAGCAATCAGAAAAATTTTCAAGAAACAGCATATTTGGTTTGTGACTCGTTTAGGATGTTTCACGTTTCTCTTGGTAAATAGTATTTACACAATTTAACATTCTTTATTATATTTTTTCGTCATACTTCTCCAACTATCTTGTAGAAGGATAAAAGAATATTATTCCGATAAAAATATTTAATAATTAATAATAAAATTAACTACTTGAGAACAAATATCTGACATTAGCAAATTTCACAGGGTATCTGATCTGATAAAGAGTTAGTGTCATGGCTGAGTTTCTAAGCCAGACCAAATCACAATACTCGCCACAGTATTTTTTAGTTTATTTCTCTTTTAATTATTGCTACTAAATTAGAATGTTATCATTTTTTTCTTTTCTTTTACACAGCTCCACTCACTACTGTGCTGACTCAAGATTGCCCTCAGCTGAGGGCAAGCAGGCTGTAAACTATTCGATGCACCCTTTTCAGCAGTCTTCAATAACCTGAGTACCATGGGCTCAAGATATGCCGGGTCTTGTTTGCCAGGTGTCAATCTAGGCATTCAGAGGCACAGTGATGGAGAAGATAAGTGGATGCTTTCCTCATGGGCCTTACAGTCTCACTGGGAACAGGATGTCATCATTTATTGAATATTAAAGAGAAGCGGAAAGAAGTAATTACAGGTTGTGCTAAGTACCGTGAAGGAAATAAAACAGTGTTATGATACAGAATAATTTGGGCATGTGTGTGCATGCTTCAGAGGAAGGCTAGGATAGGATAGGCTTTTCTGGGGTGATAAAAGGTACTATGGGGGTAACAGCCTGAGCTGCAGTGTGACCTTCCTACCTCAGTCTCCCAGAATGCTGGGATTACAGGCGTGTGCTACCACAGTCGGGTTCACATCTTAAAAACATTACTGTAGTTGCTCTTTAGGAGATGAGGAATATATATATTAACTGATGATTACAATGCCCAGGCGAAGAATAAGAGCAATTTGCATTTGGTGACAGTTGAGATGGAGGAAAAATAAATCCTCATTACACTGGAAGTAGAGCTGCCAGGATTTACTTTTTAGGTGGGGATATGAGAAGAACAGGAGAAAGGGCAGAATCCAAAGTGCCCTGTAGGGTTTTGGATAACAACAGGGAAGGCTGAGTTAAAAGAACTGGTATGAGAAGTTAAAGAAAAAGAAAACAAAAACAGATCATGATGGTTAGAAGCAACATTAACGTGAGTCTTTAAAATATTTTTCTAATTCTGTAAGAAATTCTTTGTGTATTTAAAATGTGACTTCTTAGAATACATTAAATATGATATGAAGGTTAGATAGCTTTCTGTTTTGGCTAGAGAGGAATTACCTGCCAGTTAGTCAAAACATCCTGCAAAGCTTCTAAAACAAGCAAACCAACCATCTAACCAAACAACCACCATCGGGAAAAATAGGTCCTTCTTAAGAAAGATTAAGTGGAATTATAAAATGCGAAATATTCTGCTTGAATAGGGCAGGCAGCTTGTAGCCAAATCTATACCGACACAACCCAAGGAGTATCTTACTGGCATTTCAGCCAGAGTATATCTAAGCTATTCTTATTTAAGGAGCCAAGGGAAGGCAAAAATAAGAGAATACTGAGTAGGTAAGGAAGGTTCAAGTTATGTGGACCCAGCTTCAGATTAGAAAGTGACTTCTGGAACTGACTACTCTAGAATATTCCCTTCTTCTAGCACCACAGTTGTGAATTTAAGGTAAAGTAAAAGTAAAACTCAATAGTAGAAAGATAGTGATAGTAAGTGGAGATATGATACGGGGAAAATATTTCATATTTAAAAATACGTATTATTCTAGTAATATCTAAGCAAAAGCATTATTAATAAATGCTATACATGTTCATTTATAGCTGTTGGAAAGTAAAAGGAAATGTTCAGAGTTCAGGTGGTAAGATAAGTGGAGGTGATTAGAACTTAATCTATTAAAAATAATTTTGCCAAGGGAGCAATCCAAGCTAGGACTGCCGGCCCATTCAGCAAAAGAAACAAAAGATTTCAAGTTTATTTTCAAAGCAGTTATCTTAAACAGCAAACCAGTAATGTATTCCAGAGTTGAACATCTCTCATGTTTGTACCCATTCAAAATCCACTATTGGACCATAAGACGTAGTTTTAAATACACGATTTGGCAGGATTTGTATCTATAAATTATAGGATACTTATACAAAATATTTTTCCTACTAAGTAATGCTTACAATTCTTTTTTATACATGTGTTTGACATTATTATTTCTTATTTATTGGTACAATTCAGATATACACAATGATCACATTTATCATAGGGAATTTGTACCTGTACATGATGTATCTTTTTTTGGTTTTCACTGAGTTTATGGGTATCTTTTAGATATACAGTACAGTTACATTCATCATTGGGATCTTGTACCTTTACATGTATCTTAGTTCTTATTTTTACAATTCTTAATTTTCATAATGAAGTTGAGAATATCTGTTTTGATGAAGTTCACAAAAACTTTTTTGCCATATATTCAGAGCAATATTGAAATACTTTTCAAACCAATTAGGAAATCTACTTGGCCTAGCATTTGTTTCAAGTTTACAGCAATATATGGGTTAATATTTGGCCTTTACTCAAAACTCAAGTAACTAATGGCTCATGATCTTACCGGTCTCACAGTAGGGTTCACCGTCCTCTAAGTGGAAAACATTATTACGAATGGGTTTTCCACAGGCCACACACACAAAACAGGAAACATGCCAAGTTTGCTTCAAAGCATTGATGACTTCCTGTTACAAAAAGGTAATTGGATTTAAAGAAAGATGACAATAAGTACACAGATGCTTATTCTAATAGCTGTACCATATAACCCGGTAGAGCTTCACCTTTACCTTGAGCTTTTTGTCACAGTAACAGGAGCTATTTAACGACAGAATTATCAAAATCTGTATTGCTATGTGTTTTTCACAAACAGAAATCAATAAACTTATTTAAAGAATGGTTATTGCTATTTAAACCTTCTACATAATGGTGAATAAGGGAAATATTTCTTAAGTGCTTGCATCCAAACATTTTGCTTTCTTAAAAAGGATGACAGGAAACAGTAACTTACAAAAGTTTCATAGCACATATTATTTCAAAAATATCATGGAGGAGAAGGGAAGCATCTAAAAACTAAAATCTATTTTTGATGCAGTACAGAAGCAATAATGTAATCGGTATGTTCCAATCAATTTGGCTTGTGTTTAGGCTTTTGGAAATCAGCTGTGGCTGCACTATGTACTTACTCAAATCAGTGTCAAAAATCTGAACGATAAAGTACAGATTCTATTCTAGTCAGTTATGGTCTGATTGTCAATTGTACCAATGTATCAAAGACTTGGGCCAGAGTTTAATTAGCGAAAGACGTTTGGGGGAATTAGTTTTGCAAGGATTATTTCTTTGGATGGTGAATACAGGGGTATTAAAAGTTATTATTTGCTTCTAACACTCTTACTTGACTTTATTTATTAATCTTGAATCGACAAAACACATTTTATAAACAAAAATGGTATTAATGCATATATTACTGGTTATTTGTCATCATTTAGGAAGGTACAGGATGAACTGTTCTCCTTTGTTCCCAACATGGATGTATTAACACAGACATACTTATGGTGGCATATTTATAGTGTTCTCAAAGTTTTAGACCCACATAAAGATACACTCAAAACCTCATACCAACTTTGCACACTTAGGGTATCAGTTAGGGATCAGCAAAGCCACTTCCAACTTTTATATGGGGCTAGGAACTTTTGCTCCTTCTAAAACCAAATTCCAGCCTCTAGTCACCCATGAGAAATGTGTGACCCTTACTCTAATTGGAATGTAGATATTCTACAACAGGACTTTCACTTATTCATCACTATTTATAATGTATCTGATTCTTCAATTACTTTTTGCAAAAAAAAATCCATGTGGTTTGAAATTATTTTTCTATCACAGGTAAATGCCCATAAAATTGAAGTTACATTTTAAAAATGTCACGTGCATTTGAGGAAAATATATAAATTATAAGCCTCACATTTTAAATTCTTTTTGAGGTCAGTGTCCTGTGCTTGAACCCTGATAAGTGGGGGAATGCTGCTCTTATAAAAGCTATGGAATTTAATTTAAAACAGTGAAGGTGTCAGTTCTGAGAACTCTGATGTGTGTGGTCCTGTGCGATCTCTTCATTCCTGAGAAAACAAGAGTCCTGTTGAGGTAGCACACCCACAGTAAATTATTTTTCCCCTGCAGTGGCTAGACTTTCACTGGACAAGCCAACACTCAGTAAGACAAAACGAAAGACAACCTAACCCCGTGAGTCCGATATACTCCCCACAGAGGCCTATTTAGTTTGCTTTACAATACTAAATAGTGATGAAAGGAGAGAGCATGGATAAAGCAAGGAGAAAATAAAAAGATGGAAGAGTTTCATAACAAAAAATATCTTGTTTTAAAACTCACTAAGAATTTAAAAAAGCAATTTCAAATACTTACTCCAAGGATCTTCCTTTGGCATCGGCCACATTCAGGAGCCAGGAATTTCTCATAGCACAGCTCACAATACAGTGCCCCCTTTTCCTCTACAAATCCAATGTAGGCCATTGTATTTTTGCAGTGAGCGCATTTAAACTCTTCTGGGTGCCACGATTTCCCCAGTGCCACTAGAAATGGTCCCCTGCCAGATGAAAACAGGTGAATTTGGTTTAGGAATTAAAGGATCTACAGTCCGGATGGGAATCATGCAATGTCCAAACACAGTACTTGCTTAACTTTCCTTCTCACCGACTGCACAGGAACATTGCATTTATGTGAAGAAAAAGGGGAGAGGAGTAAGAGACCTCCAGGATTCTTTAAGAAAGGCCACCCCCCTTTCAGTCTGCAGGGGACTTGGCGGTTTGTTTTACTGAGCATCAGTGTGTCAATCTGTGTACAGAATCATTAGGGTTAGAGAATGAGGGTGTTAACTAGGACAGAAGACTAAGAGCCCTGAACAACAACGTATGCTTTAAGCAGAGATGAAAATCTGACATTTCTAGAAAGTAAATAAAAGCAGAATCTGTTTGATAATGTCAGTCTTAAAACAGTAATAGAAAATATTTCACTTAATTTCTCTTCCCCACACACTGGGTCATATGCTCATTTCTTAACTTTATTAAACACATCAAATTTCCATCCTCCAAAATGACTACAGAAACTATAAACTATATGCAAACTAAAGCTACTTGGAAAAGCTTTACTTTATTTCAACAGTCTGATTCATCTTTCAATTTTCCATTCTATTGTGGTAAGGACCTCTAACAGGAGACCCACTCAGCAGATCTGTAAGTCCGCCCGACAGTACTGTGAGCCAGCAGCCCAATGTCACACAGCAGATCTCAGCACTTACTCATCATACACAACTGAGATTTCATACCCAATGCTTAACAATTCCCCTCGCCTCTTCTCTAAACGCCACTGGCTTTTGTATCAAGGTAACATGTTCCTCAAGGGCTTTTTTTTCTTCACTGAGTTCTGTACAGTAATGAACTGATGAGATGGGCTTAGTTTGCTTGCCAGGAATCCATTATGAAGCCTTCTGTGGTCTCGACACAGGTGAGATGAGCCATTCTAGCCACTGCAACATGATTTTCAGCAGCTACCTCATGCTGATTTTTTTCAGAGTGGCTTTACCTCCAAGGTACTTTTACATTTATCTAATTTGTTCATCCAGCACTCCTGTGAGATACACCAAGGCATTTATTACAAACTCAGTTTCACAGATGGGATATGGAGATGAGATATAAAATGTTCAAAAGATAGGACAAATACTAGAAAATCACTAAGCCAAGGACAGAAGCCGAATTTTCTGATTTCTACTATACTACTCTAGTCAACTAATATTTGGCCTTCAGTCTCACTACCATCAACCACGATAATGAAGTGACTATAAGGTAATCGTTAGCATCAAATATAGAACTTCTGGACAGATTATAATCAGGAAAAGTCATAGCAATGAGCATCACACAGAGCATTTAAAAAATCTAACAATAACATAAACATTGCTTTCTCTAATGATCTCCAACTGATTAATTCTTTGAAAACAGACTGATGTTTACTCGGATGTTTACCTAATTCTGCAAATCAGGAAAGTACAAAGTTTCTTGATAAATAGTTCATTTTTTTCCCCATATGGACATAACCATATTTTCAGCTCTACTTTTTGTTACCTTTTTTTTTTTTTAACTTTTTAGTTTTGGTTTTTCTTTAGACAGGGTCTCACTCTGGAAGTCAGGCTGCCCTTGAACTTACTATATAGCCTAGGCTGGCCTCAAACTCTGGAGGATCTTCCTACCTCAACATCCCCAGTGCTGGGATGACAGGCAAGTACCACCATGCCCTGCCCGCTAACTTGTTTCTTACTAACAAAGCCTGGCAAGTGCAAGGTCCTGAGTTTGACCCCAGGTACAAAAACCAAAACCAAAAACCAAAAATGTTATTTTGTATTGAGCCAGCCCATTCAGCTCTCTTACATTTAAGATAGTTTGTTATTATTATTTTTCAAACTTTAGGATTCTATAGTTTTGCTATGACTAACAAGGAGCACTTAGGTTACCTAATTCCTGCCAAAGAAGGCAAGGCTAAAGGTTACCTATTACTTTCTGTGGACTGTCTCTGCGTTTCTAACTGGCTTACAGTCTTAACAATTCTTCTATTTAGTCTTCTCACTGTAGATTTGGCAAGTAGTTTACCTGCAAAGATAAATGAGGAAGTCACTCTGCTGAAAGCTGGACAAAGTTTTTTATGAGTATCCTGAGCTGTTCCACCAGGTAGCTATCCGGTCATATACACATTGGCTAAATTTATGTGACCATAAATACAACAGGACAGAAGTTTGGGGTTTTATATTATAATTTGTATGGATATTAAAAGAGATTCAAAATAATTTATAGGACTGGGCTGAATTTTTTATTAAGGCACATCTTCAGCCCATCTGCAAGGCCCAGTTCCCTTTGAGGCCAGTAGATTGATCTGGCTCCTCGGCTGACAAAGGAAATCAGTTCAGCCTCACACTCTGCCTTCTGCTAAAGAATAAGTGCTGCCACATACCTGCCATAGAAATACTGTAAAATTGCTCCTGAAACATGTCTATCAGAGCTACCAGATGCTATCTGATGAAGTTCATGCAAGAAAAAAGGTAACACTTATTTGTGAATAATTGCCTAATGATCTCCATTTTCTAGATATTCTAAAGTATGTGTTCACCAAGTCAGACAGAGAGAACTGGGTTCTATGCATCACATAATTTGGGTATTTGGGTGTGGGCGTCACCACAGGATTATTCCTTTTCTGAACAGTGCTTGGGAAACAGCTCTCTGAAATTCACCTCTGCCTGTCCTGCAGGTTGCGGTAGAAGAGTGTCCTCAGATCACACACTGGGACTCCTTGGAAATATTCCTACCAGATTTTTGCAATAGGAACAGTTTTGCTTCTCTTGAGCAACTATTTTATTTAATTGTGCAGCAGCCTGCAAAATGAGCTTTCTTTTTTGGTGATCCCTAGAAGGCTTCAAGCCAGAGTTGTAGCCTATGCATAGGCAACAGTGTAAGTCAGTCACAGTTGAAGATACTGTCTCACTAGTGGGATTTTTAATGGCCCCGCTCACACTCTTCATTCATTTGACCTTTTTTAATTCAGAGGGTTGTTTATATTTCATATCATTAAAAGTCTCTAAAAACATTATGGCATGAATTTTACTATTAATAAATACTGTAAAAGTATACTCAAATGAATAAGGAATTCATTTTCTCCGTACCTTTAAAACAGGAGTTGAAATGACGCTTCCTCTAGCCAGATCTCTTTCCTCACACGAGCACGCTCAGGGCATACACTGGCCTAACATGCTACTTCTTGTGGCAGTGAAAGAGCATCATTCCTACCAATGCCCTCGGAGTTCTATATGAACAATAAAAGTCTTGCATATAACAAAGTGCTCTCTTCTCTGTGTCCACAAAGACTAATTTAACAAATTCATTAACAGGGATTAACACAAAATAGGTTCCTCTTGTTCCAGGTAGGATTAGGTTTCCATTTGTGAACTGGAACAACAGGCTTAGATACTGCAAGGTGGAATTAAATATTCAGTTCCCCTTTACTGTACTCTACACCCTTACTAAATACACATTGACAGAAAAAGGAAAGGAGGGGAGAGAGTTAAAGCATTTGATTAGTTGAAACAGAACAGCTATGGCAGGAAATATTTTACTCTGTTTATCTTCTGTGACTTGAGCTGAAAAGGAAAATAGAAGGTGGAGGCAGGAAGAAGTATGACAGGGAAGAGTTCAGAGAAGAAGAAAAGCTTACATACAGGAAGGTGAAAGGAATTGCAAAGTTCAACAGGCACAGTAGGAACTGAGCTTCTAAATTAAATGTTCATTTCTTGCTTCATTATTTAATTCTCACAATGGTCCCAGTGATAGAAATGAATTCCATCAAAGAGATGAATAAAACATCAGAGGAGTTAGCCAATTTTCCTAAAATCATGTGAATGATGAACTGTAAAACTAGACTCTTCCAAAGCCTGGTCATGTAGATTAAAATTTGTTTGATCAAAGTTGTTGCACGGAATGAAATAAAAACCAAAGTCTACAAAGGTCACATTAAGAAACAAAAAACCTTCATGTGCCAAGAAACAAAATGGAATGTGATATTCCACCTAATAAGAATGTATAAATATATATTTATATATCTAAATACATAAACTAGCTCTAAACATATATGTACATAATAGAAATGTACAAATACTACTAAATTACTTTAAATCTTTTATACTGTCCAAATTTTAGGAAGGGCCTAGCACAAGCAAAGATAGCAAGAATAACATAATCAGAGGAACAGGTTGAAAGTGGGAAAGTTAACTGAGAAAAACTGGGCACACACACACACACCAGTGATGAACAAAGACACACCTAGGAAGACAAGTGAAGGAGAATCAAATACATAGTGACTATCTTTCAAGTCTTATACTACTTAAAATGAGAAATAACTACAATCTTTCCCAAATTTGGAAACTCTGTATTGGCCACTTTTTTATTATTGTTTTTGTGGTACTGGGGATTGAACCCAGGGACAGTCTTCCATTGAGATACATTCCCAGCCCTCCCTTGTCCTTTGTGCTCATCCTGAGACAAGGCCTAGTAAGTAGCCCAGGCCGGCACTGAAATGGCCCTCTTCCTGCCTGCCTCGGCAGTCAGTGATTACAGATGTGCACCACCACACTGGTGTGACCCTTAGTTCTTCATCTCCAGTGAACTGTGCCTGACCTTTCCAATGTAAAACATTAAAACATGTAGTTTTAAAAAATATGAGAAAATTAAAAAATAAAACATCTGTAAGGGGGGAGGGGGGTGAAGGGAGGGCAGGGACAAGGGGAAAAAAATGAGAACCAAGACCTGTCATGCAAAGGTACAAGATTCCAATAGTGAATGTAACTGTACTGTATACCTAAAATGTACCAATAAACTCAATTAAAAAACATGCAGTTTTCTTTTCATTGAAGGTTGTCTTTCATTTGCAATCTTTTAAAATACTGCAGAAAGCTGTGCATGGTGGCATACACCTTAATCCCAGCATTTAGGATGCTGAGGCAGCCAGATTACAAACCAAAGCTCAGCCTAGGCAATTTAGCAAGGCTTTATC